TAGGCCAGTGATCTACTCTCTCAACCCCAGCTTCCTGCAGGACTGTTGGGAAACTGGAATAAAATCTACATGAAATGATACAGTGAGCACTCATGAATATTTTTTTCCTTCCTTCATGGCTCAAGGCAGGGACAGAGCCAGAGAAAGAATCCAGGTTGCCAGACTCTTGAAACAGTGCTCAGTCTGTTGCCCTCAAAACTTATGTTTCCTATTTTTCTCTGGTCTGGGCCTCCACCTCCTGCCCGTGCCCCACTCTCTTGCTGTTTCCAGGTTTTCTTCTTGTTCCTTGACCTCTTTGACTCTCTTAGCAGCATGCCAGCCCCAAGGGAAACCCTGGGATGGTTCCTGGAACACACATTTAGTCTAGACCCCCGCCCCTGGGCACACACTCACTGCATCTCACAAATAAGCTCTGTCTCTGTTCTTCAGTTCCAGGACCAGGCCAGGTGGCTTTGAGGTTGACTGAGAGTCAGACTTGAACCGGAGCAGGAAGAAGAATCTCGGCTCTAACTTGATATGATCACCCAGAGACACTCCGTTCCCACAATTCTGCTCAACACAAAATATACTCATGAAACATTGGTGTCTGCAGTACAGAAGGAAATGCAGTGTCTGTCTTCAAAGAATGAAAGGTCTAGCAAGGAATTCCAGATGAATACTGATAAAAACATTACTTGAGGCCAGACGTGGTGGCTCACACCTGTAATCTGAGCACTTTGGGAGGTCAAGGCAGGATCACCTGCGATCAGGAGTTCAAGACCAGCCTGGCCAACGTGGTGAAACCCTATCTCTACTAAAAATACAAAAATTAGTCGGGCATGGTGGTGCATGCCTGTAGTCCCAGCAGCTTGGGAACCTGAGGCAGGGGAAACCCTTGAGCCTGGGAGGCAGAGATTTCAGTGAGTTGAGATTGTGCCTCTGCACTCCAGCCTGGGTGACAAAGCGAGACACCGACTCAAAAAAAAAAAGAAAAGAAAAAAAGAAAAATAACTGGGCAAGAAAAAAACATGGTCAATTCTGCATGAGAAGTATAGATCTCTGTTTAGATGACTTATAAGGCTGATGGTTTAATTTGTTCTTTCTATCAGTCATTTACCGATCACTCCCTATGACGTGCTAGACACTGTAGAAGGTACTTAGGAGCGGGGAGACATGTCAAAATTATCATAAAATCTTACAATGACTATGGAGGCTCATATAAGGAGCAGGGAAGAGTTTCGTGAAGGGAAAGAGAAAAAACAACCATTCAGGTGTGCGGGGAGGGGCACAGGGCTTCCAGGCCCTCCCCCGGGCGCCACCGTCCAGGAACCTCGATATGTTCAGGTATCCAAAAGCTCCCTGAACCCTGTCCTCTTGGGTTTTTATGAAAGCTTCATAACGTCAACATTCCTTCCCCCAGGGTATAGGGTGGGAACCTCTCTGGGAATTATCTTAAGAACGACCATTGGAAAGTCCAGGAAAGATTAGAGTCCTGCCTTGGGGCAGTTGAAAGGAGGGCAGGAGAAGGAGAGATTTTGTTTCCTGTGGCCTAACACACTCAATATTACAACAAAAGACTGTAACAAGGTCTATGGGAGTTATGAGCCAGGAATCATGGAGGAAAACTGTCTATCATAACAGCACAGCACTCAAGGTCCTCCCAACAGGGCCCCAGACTTCCTTTCCTACCTGGCTTCCACCTCCCGTTCCCTCCTCAACTGTGCTCCCACCAGATGGGCTTGCACACCACACTTACCGTACTCTTTCCTCTACCATCTCTGACCTTTGCAAATTTCAGTCCCTCCGAACCCCTTCAGCAAATTAATTGAACCCGAAGAGGGGGTCACGGGAACCCCAACTTGAAGCCAGTTTGTCAGAAGTTCTGGAGGTCTGGACTTACAACTGGTGTTAGGGGGAACAGTCTTGGGGACGGAGACCTCAACTGTGGGATCTGACAGTATCTTTCAGTGTCAGAACGGCATTAGAGGACACCCAGCTGCTTGGTGTGTGGAGAAAACCCCCCACACATTTGGTCACAACTCTTCTGCGTTGATTGTTGTGATGTGAGAGTAAAGGAAAAATGCTGTTAGAGACAATTTTCCCTGTAAAACCGCCCAACCCAAAAGCCTTCCTGTCAGCTCTAGGGTTGGCGGACGAGCTTAGCCAACATGGCAAAACCGCGTCTCTACTAAAAATACAAAATTAACCAGGCATGATGGCAGGTGCCTGTAATCCCAGCTACTCAGGAGGCTGAGGTAGGAGAATCACTTGAACCCAGGAGGCAGAGGTTGCAATGAGCCAAGATCGCGCCACTGCACTCCAGCCGGGGCAACAGTGTAAGATTCTGTCTCAAAAAAATAAAAATACAAGGACTGATTTCTAATGTACGCCCCAGGCACTATGTGAGACATACTAAAAACATTTTTTGTTTGTTTTCTGAAACTCAGATTCCACCTGTGTTTTATCTGGCAACTGTAGTTAGCACCAGCCATTGGAGGGTGCTCCCGGATCCTCATGACTGAACCAGGCCTGGAACAGGCCTCCACATCCATGCTCCCAACCTGTGCCACCAAACAGATCCCACTAGAACGTGGCTCCTAAGGAGACAGGGATAAGGCCACTTTGGCCAGTCTGTCCCCTTTGGTATGGGTGCCTTGGCCAGAGGCCTTTGGCCCTGCAGATGCCAGTTTCTCCCATCTGTGTGTCATATGGCCTGTGAGAACCATGAAAAGAGGCTCTGATTCTCTGTTCTCCCCCCGGGGCTCAGCAGCCAACATTGTTTTCTGGGCTTTACGTATTCAGTGGCAAAGGAATCCGGCCCATACCCAGCTTCTCTGAGGTGCAGTCAAGGTGTTTAGACGAAATATTTGCAGGAAATAGTGCTGTAGAAGTTGACGATGGTGGCTTTATGTATATGAGGAAACTGAGCCTGGGAAAGAGCACAGTCTTCGGGCTCACAGTCTAAAACAGAAGGGCTGGCCAGGCACGGTGGCTCACGCCTGTAATCCCAGCACTTTGGGAGGCCGAGGTGGGTGGATCACAAGGTCAGGAGTTCAAGACCAGCTTGGCTAATATGAGGAAACCCCTTCTCTACTAAAAATACAAAAATTAGCTGGGTGTGGTGGCGGGCGCCCATAGTCCCAGCTACTCGGGAGGCTGAGGCAGGAGAATCACTTGAAACTGGGAGGCGGAGGTTGCAGTGAACCATGATCACACCATTGCAATCCAGCCTGGGTGACAGAGTGAGGCTCTATCTCAAAAACAAACAAACCAAAAACAAAAAACAAAAAAAACCCCCGAAGGGCGGAACTCTAGGGTCCCGCTCTCCAGAATAGTGCGCCCATGAAGAGGCACTGAACAAAAGTCAGCCATTTAGGTGAACTATGAAAAGGAGGCAAAGTGAGAACTGGGATTCCTATCTTAAAAAGGGTCTTAACTTTAGCTGCAGAAATCCAAAACATAGTGATGGGTATGACAGGAAGGCAAGTAGAAAGGACATCACATTTACTGAGTGTCCTAATATGGTAGGTCTATGCCAGGCACTTTACACAGGTTGTCTGTCTCATGGAATTCTCTCAGCACCTGTGCAAGGTAAGTACTACCATTCCCATTTTACATCTGGGAAAGTGAAGCCCAGAGAGGTTAGACAACTCTCTAGTACATGGGCAAGCAGAGATTCAAACCCAGGACACTCCGTCCAAAATCCATTTTCTTTCCAGCACACCATGCTGTCTTGTGGCACACACTGATGTGCCCATCACAACTGCGCTGTAAGTCAAGTACAGTTCGGAGTTCCTGGCAGTCTAAAGCCTCATGCCCCTTCCCACCCTTGACCCACATTTGCTCCTCTGCCTCACCTGTTTCATGTCCCCCATCACTGGGTTTGGAGGGTAGGGATTGGAGAGGGCTGCAGGCTATCCATACCACACCTGGACACCTAATTTCCACCCTGCTCCCCCAGGCCTCATCCATGGTGGGCCTCCCTTGTGACCTTGACTGGAACCCAGGGGACTCCTGGGACTGGTTTGGTCAGGCCAGAGGAACTAAACCTTAGAAAGGTTATTATTCTTTGGCCAAAGTGCACCCTGGTAAACGTGGTCCTCTGCTGTGACAGCTCCAATGATATCCTCTGCCAAGAGCAAGCAGCACAGTGAGGTCCCAAGTTTCCATATAAACCAGAGACTGAATTTCCCTGCGTGACACAGAAAGGGAGGCTTAGAAGTGGGAGGGAATCTACATCCATTGCATAAAACCCAGGAACTCTCATTCGCATTCCGGGCTTCAGCATCCCCGTCACATCCTCGTGATCACATCACCAGGGCCTGTCCTGTAGTTATAGGAGTCTGGCTTCCTGACACTCCAGCCTCACACGGCCCCATCAGCTCAACTGTGTCTACACAAAAACCTCTTATCTCCTCCTCATCAACTACAACAACTGCAGCCCCTCTTGCCCAGGGCGCCAGCCTTGAGCAGCCAACGGCTTTAGAGCAACTCCCAGAGGGAGGGAAGAGGGAAGAAGATGACAGTCCAGGGAATACAGTTTCAGAAAAAAAAAAAATTGTGGGACCTAGAGAAGGGCCCAGGGAGACCCAGAGGGGAGAATGGGCCCCTAACGATTGTCACACAGAGGATTAGCTGTGAAGTCAGAAATAGAACCCAGGATTCCTGCCTCCAGGCTAGGTGACTTGAACCTCTGGCACTTCTCTCTCAAAGCAAGTTAACCTACTTGACCTACTTCTCTGAAGCTACAGGGAAGAGCAGCCTGTGAAAACAACGCCCAAGTGGAGGAGTGGGTGGGTATCCAAGGCTGAAGGCTGCATCTCCGCAGCACGGCAAACAGCTCAGGAGCCCAGGCAGCAGGATGGCAAACAGCTCAGGAGCCCAGGCAGCAGGATGTGCTTCGTTCACCAAGGTTGCTGGGAGTTGCCTTGTTGCCTTGGGCTGTAGGAGGGACATGACGGGGGATGGGGAGAGCTGCCTGCTGCCAGGAGATGGGGCCTGGGCGCCTGGGATGGAGAAGGCTGCCGCAGGACAAATTTCGCAACTAGATTTTATGACGGTGTGAGCAGTGTTTGAGGTATTTGTGGTTGACATGTTGAGATTTAAAAGTACCAAGCAGGCTCTCCCAGCTCCATCTAGTTCATGGCCTTGGGTTGACCCTATATTCACCCTCTAGACAGGGGCCAAGTCACCTTCTTCAGCTGCCAGCCCCTATGGTCCCTGGAGAGAAGTCTCCTTTCTTACCCGAAGCTCAAATCCATGTCCACTTGCTTCTGGTCAAAAGCTCAAGCACTGCCATGCCCATGACCCAGACTCTAGTCTAGACCAAGGAAATTCTGCTTCTTCACTCTCTCCTTGCTGCCAGCAGTAGGAGGCACCTGTCGCCCACCCATTATCTCCCATCTCCATCCTGGGTGATACTTGTTCTCACTGCAAGGCCCAAGCCCACCCACACTCTGAAGAACACGAAAGTCCATGGCGTTGCTTCCATCTCTTCTTCCTGCTGATCTACATGACATGCAAGAGAAAAGAAGAGATAGGAAATGAATAGCTGGTCACACCGGTGATCTAAAAAAGTCAGATGTGGCTCTCCTCGCCATAGCTGAGGAAACCTGCATCTCACCACAGCCAAGAAATAGGCTTGCCCAGAAACTGGCCAGCCCAATCAAAGAATGGTTTAAACAAAATGAAAGGACAGGGAGAAAAATGCCTCCAGGGCCAGACGTGGTGGCTCACGCCTGTAATCCCAGAACTTTGGGAAACCGAGACAGGAGGATTGCATGAGCCCAGGAGTTCGTGACCAGCCCTGGAAACACAGTAAGACCCTGTCTCTGCAAAAAAAAAAAAAAAAAGATTAACCAAGCATGGTGTCATGTGCCTATAGTCCCAGCTATTGGGGAGGCTGAGGTTAGGGGAATCACTTGAGCCTGGGAGGTTGAGGCTGCAGTGACTCATGGTTGTGCCACCGTACTTCAACCTGGGCAACAGAGTAAAACCCTGTCTCAAAAAACTAAATATGTAAAAAGAAAAATGCCTCCAGGAAATTGTAAACCTGGCTAATAGATAAGAATACAAAAAGAACATGTGAGATGCTGAACCCCTAAGACCTGAAAATTGTTACTGGTGTAGGAAGAGCCCCAGCTCTTCAATAGGGCCAGATGGAACCTCTCTGGGGAAGTCACCCTCGCCCACCTAAGCCAAACCCTGCCCTCCAGGCCTTGTAGAGCCACTGCCTTATATGGGCTTTGGACCCTGAAATCACCCCTTTCCCAATAAAGCATGCTGCTTTTTACGTTCACCCGAGCCCCTCAGGGTTTGGCAGCTCTGCAGTTAAGGATCCCTGGCCATGCCTGCTTTCCCTTTTCTGGACTCTTCTTGGCCACAGGACTCCTCTTTGATACTCAGCCCCAATCCTCAGCTTCCAAATCTCTAGCCCAACCCCTACTTTTCTGGCTCAAGGATGACAGCTGACTTCAGTCTCATGACGATGGCCCAAGGAAGAGGATGTTCATCAATTCTCAGTGAACATGATAGAGAAGCTCAGACGTCTACACGCCAACATGCAGGTGGCAGACAAAGTCGAGTTGAAGTTTGAGTCTGTATCTGATGTCTGGTAGGTTAGGACTCACTCATGTTCTAAATTATGGCACATGCGTTTATTGAGAGCCTACTACATGCAAGACACGGTGGGGAGAGAGTAAAAAGTCCCTGCCATCCAGAAAACTCATGGTCCAGTCGAGAAGACAAGTCAGGATAGAGAGATGTCTCAGAGAGAGAGAAAAATGGAGTCCTGGCAGAAGCCTAGGAGAGAGGCTCCACCTGGGTGGACTGGGAGGGAGTTAGGGAAGGAGCCAGACATGGAGAGAGAACGTAACTTGAGCAAAGGCAGGTGTTGGGAAGTCACAGCTATGTATAAAGAAAAGCAAACGGCACATTTGAGAGGAACATATGCTGACTGAAGGGATACGGGGAGACACGCAGTAAGAAAGGCGGGCTTTGGCACAGTCACAAAAGGCCTTGAGTACCTAAGGACTTTGGCCTCTATTCAGTGAGGAAGATTCTTCTGGCTCTCAACTGCATTGGTAAGGGGGAAATGGGTCTGTACTGGTTTCCACATTGCCTAGCTTGGCATACTGGGTTTCCCATCCAGAGACTGGAGACAGACATGCCTTGATCAGGAATCAAGACAAGGAATTCATCAGCAATGTGCCCTGTGTCACCTCTCAGGAATGTAAGCGTGGCAGGAGGCAGCTGGACGAGATACAAGGCCAGCCAAGAGAGGGGAGAACTGCAATGGTGACCTTCAGGTTTCAGGGCAATGAGAAGGAGACGGAAGAAGCAAGGAATGAGTATTTGCCAAGCTCCTGCTCGGTGTTAGGCACCACACCTAGCTCAGTACCCAATGCCTGGCGCGTAGGAGGGGCTCAACACATACTCATTGAAGGAAGCATCTTTCTCCCTCTAAGCCTCACAACAACCCTGGGAACTAGATTAGAATTAGGAAACGCATTTTTAAAAGAGCCATTCCCAGAGTCACACAATGAATGGTAGAAGCAGCCAGGCATGGTGGCTCACGCCTGTAATCCCAGCACTTGGGAAGCCAAGGTGAGTGGATCACCGGAGGTCAGGAGTTCGAGACCAGCCTGGCCAACATGGTGAAAACCCGTCTCTACAAAAAATCAAAAATTAGCTGGGCGTGGTGGCAGGTGCCTGTAATCCCAGCTCCTTGGGAGGCTGAGCCAGGAGAATCACTTGAACCCGAAAGGCGGAGGTTGCAGTGAGCCGAGATCGTGCCATTGCACTCTAGCTTGGGCAACCGAGCAAGACTTCATCTCAACAACAGCAACAACAACAACAACAACAAAAAGAATAAATGGTACAAGCAGGACTCCAGTCTCGGTCTGCCTTTCTCCAAGCTCTGTTCTCTTCTGTTTCTCACCAGATTGCAAGTAGCTAAGCCGCAGGTTTGTGATGTGGCAACAGATGAGGTAGCAGATGGGTCTGGCCAATGTCACTCTTCTAGGAAGCTCGCTGGGGAACTGAAGGAGGTGATTCACAGCGGGCTTCCCTTCAGCTTGCACCAGCAGCCCCTGGGGAGCTTTCTACAAGGCAGATTCTTGAGCTCCAGTCCAGACTCATGGAAGAAGCCTGGGTTCCACAGGTAGCGGGAACTGGTGGACATGACTGCAAGGAGTTGAGAGCAGGCAGCGTAAGAGCCCCAGATCATAGAGCAAGGAGGAGGCTGTCACAGGATAAAGATGTGGAGTTTCCTTTAGTGGTGGTGGTAAGGGGACACCGCTAAGGGGAAACAGAAATGCGTGCAACATGAAACTCTAGAAAAGAAGCTGGTTTTGTAATAAAGAGATGAGAACTAGCAGTATAACTGAATATAATGGTGGGTGTGTGTAAGGGCAAAGTAATTCACAACTTCAATTAACACAGTAACTGTCAATGAGAGAAGCCAATGGGGGAGGTAACTATTCACAATGGGAGTCCCAGGCATTGGGGAATACCAGGGACAGAGTGTGTGGGTGTTGTCACACTTTCAGAGGACGGTATTAACATATCTCAGGCTCTGCCCTCATCTACTATGTTGTACTCTCTCTTTTTTGTTTTGTTGTTGTTGTGTTTTTTTGAGACAAGGTGTTGCTCTGTCACCCAGGCTGCAGTCCAGTGGCACAATCTTGTCTCACTGCAACCTCCACCTCCCAGATTCAAGTGATTCTTATGCCTCAGCCTCCCGAGTAGCTGGGACTACAGGCACACGCCACCACTCCCAGCTAATCTTTTTTATTTTTATTTTGTAGACATGGGGTCTCACTATGTTGCCCAGGCTGGTCTTGAACTCCTGGGCTTAAGTGATCCTCCTGCCTTGGCCTCCCAAAGTGCAAGGATTGTAGGTTTGAGCCACTGTGCCAGACCTGTACTCACCCTAAAAGCAGATGTGTATGAAAATAATCCAGATGATCAGACGGAAGCCTGGGAAAGGCGTGCTCAGGGAGCCTGACTTCGGCAGTGGACCTGAAGCAAATGCCTCTCTGGGGGATGGGCATCCCTGACCAGCAGACCCAGATATTTCAGGTCCATTGGCAGGTATATACCCATAGGGAAGATGGATGCATCCGATGATCAAGCTTAATACCGTGCTGATTCCCTTTGTTCTTTTCCCTGGTTCACCACGATCTTCTGGTTATATTTTAGCTTATCTCTGAGGCTGGCAAATCAGCCGATTTGAACATTTCAGTCCTCTATGTACTTACATTTCTAACCGTAAGTGGGCACTCTGGAAACATCCATTTCTTATGAATCTGCTTAGCATGATATATCCCCAAGAGCATAGTCACATCTGTCCATTGCTGACTTTACTGAGGCCTACCCCCTGAGGATGTCCTGCCTTTCAAATATTCAACTCTATTTCCTCTATTTCCTGTTTCTCTCTCTGTAGAGAAGCAATAATTTCAAAAAGGGATCTTGAGATATGAGTGTAATTCAACTCAAAGCAAATCATATGAGGGATTCCTTACTTGCCTTATGATGGAAACTCTTCAAAAAGTAGAAGCAGCAAAGGAATGTAGTCTTTTTTTTTTTTTTTTTTTTTGAGATGGAGTCTTGCTCTGTTGCCCAGGCTGGAGTGCAGTGGCATAATCTCGGCTCATTGCAACCTCCATCCCCAGATTCAATTGATTCTCCTGCCTCAGCCTCTCAAGTAGCTGGGATTACATGCGTGCGTCACCACGCCCAGCTAATTTTTGTATTTTTAGAAGAGACAGGGTTTCACCATATTGGTCAGGCTGGTGTTGAATTCCTGACCTCAGGTGATCCAACCACCTTGGCCTCCCAAAGTGCTGGGATTACAGGTGTGAGCCACTGCCCCCAGCCTACAATTCTTTTCTTTTTAAAGTAGAAATATAAAAGTATTTAGCATACCAAGAAAGGAAACACAGATAAAATGGACTCAGTAGCAGGAATTTCCCTGTAGTTGTGTTAATGCAGAGCTTCTATTTTGCTTCATTCCATTGGACAAACATTAGGGTAGTTTGGGAAGGAAGTTGAATGGCAGAGTAGGTAACCATCTGTTCATCTGATTAACTGGGTTCATTCTACTGGGTCATTTCATTTTTCTTTCCTTTTCTTTTCTTTTCTTTTCTTTTATTTTCTTTTTGTTTTTGGAGACAGAGTCACTCTGTTGCCCAGGCTGGAGGGCAGTAGAATGATCTTGGCTCACTGTAACCTCCACATCTCAGGTTCAAGTGATTCTCCTGCCTCAACCTCCAAGTAGAACTAACCCAAGTGGGGTTGTTAGTAGATACGGCTGGTAGAGTGCTCCACATGAGACCACAGATGTGGGCTGAGGAAGGGGCAGCAATGTGGCAGGAGTTGGTGTACTAGATGTGTGAACAAATTCTCTTTTATTGTGCCTCCAGGAGCCACTTGAACCTGTTCTCACTACTTTCTAGTAAGCTGCTAACCACACCCAACTTTATGGCACTGTGGCTCAGACATTACCA